TGGGAACAGCACCGGGAGCCCAGCGTGCCTCGGGCTGCGCACGCAGCAAGAGCACGCGGAGTGTCCCCAGAGCTCAAATCATCCATTTATTAAAATCCTCCGTGAAGCCAAGCCCAGGTCAGCAGGGCTAAGTGCTCTGTTGGCAAAAATGCCATCCCAGGGACACGTTTCCTCAAACTACCCCAGTCCAGCACTACCAAAGCCTTACACTCATCCTACACCGGCTGCAGCACAGCCCATGCCGAAAGCCGTGCCGCTGCTCCGGCGGGGTATTTCCAGCTGCAGCAGGCAGGGTTTGCCTGTCCTGGTGGGAAGCACACCTCCGACTGCAGCACAGACAAACCCCAGTACTTAAAGGGAGCCTACTGGAAAGCTGGAGAGGGCCTTTTTACAAGGGTGTGTAGTGATAGGACAAGGGGCAATGGATTTAAACTGAAAGAGGGGAGATTTAGATTGGATATAAGGAAGAAATTCTTTACTCTGAGGGTGGTGAGGCACTGGCACAGGTTGCCCAGAGAAGTTGTGGCTGCCCCATCCCTGGAAGTGGTCAAGGCCAGGTTGGATGAGGCTTTGGGCAATCTGGTGTAGTGGAGGGTGTCCCTGCCCATGGCAGGGGGGTTGGAACTAGACGATCTTTGAGGTCCCTTCCAACCCTATCCATTCTATGACTCGCACTCCAGCCTCCACTGTTCCCCTCTGAGGATGCCTGCGAGGGCCCGCGTTCACCTTTCTCAGCACAGGTGAGAGAGACAAGGCTCGGAGCAAAAGGCCATAAGTGGAGCAAGTTTGGGGGCACAGAGCCCTTTCCGAGCTCTCTTCATAGAGGAGCATTCGGCAAAGCTAAGTAAAACCTGAATTTCTGCACAGAATTAACAACCAAATAAGCAGCATGGGGAAAAAAAATCCACCACCTCATCCTCGCCTGCAGCGGGAGGGCAGAATGAGCACCGCACACGTCGCAAAATCCACGTTAAAAAAAGCCTAACTACAACGTGAGATACCTCTGCAAAGCACGCACGCCTTCACGTCTGGCCTGGGACTCTGGCAGCCCCACATGACCCCGGCAGCTCTTCCCAGCACAACCCATGGCAAACCCACCGGCTGCAGAGGAAGGATTTTAGCAGGGGAGTTACCTTCAGTACCAGTCGGGCAGGGGGAGACTGGCCCATCGTACCCAGGGCATTATAAGGCACACAGGTGTAAGTGCCGAGAGCATCTTCGGTTGCCTCCTCTATCCGGATCGACCCGTCTTCCAGCAGGTTCCAGCCAGAATACTGCGGCAGTGAGAAAGAGGGAGCTGACTTACCCTACGCCCACCACAGCTTATTATTTCCCCTTCAGCCAAGCCCCCCACCTAAGGCCAGGGCGGCTGCCACGTCCCCGGGAGATGCTTAATCCCATCCCAGCATCCAGCCTGTCTCCTCAACTGCAGAGAGAGGAAACATCAGCCCATCCAAACGCAGCCCCCCCGGGCAGGGCTGCTCTGTACACACGATGGTTTATCTCATTCCTCTCCTCTCTACGTGCAGGCAGGCTTCATCAAGGAGCCCAAAAGATTTATCGTCAGGATCTGTCCCACCCTAAGTAACACTCATCCTGGTGGCACCAAGATGACAACTCCATCTGAGGGGCTGAGGGCACTAAGGGCTAGGAACCCACAGCAGCAACAGGTTTAAATGGGATTAAAACTTTGGCTTGTTAATATTTAAGAAAAAAAAAATATCTAAAATACCGAGCGTTTTCTTTAAATATTTAATGGCTGAAATCCTTGCTCAGACTATCAAACTGTGATTATAGGAAGACAGAGACTTGTTAAAAGGGTTTTTTAACCATCAGTTGCCATTGGAAATTAAAAAAAAAGCAACAAAAAACCACCAAAAAACCCCAGGGCCATCAGGAGGTCACTCTAGAGGTCTGGGAGAAGCAGACAGCGTGTCTGCAGGCACCCTGAGCTCCACGCAAGAGCCCAAATTAACTCTGCCCACAGCTGATAAGGAAAAGCAGCAGCATCCCACCCACGGGGCCGCTCTCCGGAGAGCGCGCTGGATCCACAGGGTGCCTAGTGATGCTCCATGGTGTCTGCAGAGGACATGAGGGTCTGAACCTCACCGTGCCCTGACACATCCATCCCCGGGGGCTTTGTTACCTTCTCAATTCTCAGGGGACGTCCGTCTTTGTTCCACTTGACCAGAGTGACCGGAGGCTCTGCCTCAACCGGGCAGCGGATGTATCCGTGTATCCCAATGGGAACGTAGATGACGGGGGGCATGTTCACCACGCGGGCAGGATCTGGGAGAGCAGCACCACCACATCAGCACCGGGAAGGAGCCCACCTCTCCCCCACCACCCGGCTTCAGAGGGCCTACACCGCTTTTATCACAAATTCCGAACTCAAACACCACCTTGGCTCCCACAGGCTGTTACCTCCAGGCCCGCTATGCACAAATCCGCTGTAATACCTGGCATTTCTGGGACACTTTACTCATGCCCAGGGTGTTCCTACTTGGAACTCATTAAAAGATGCAGCAAAGAAGGAACGTTAAACACACCCGCACTGGCTCGCGCCCCGCTGAATCCCGAGCTGCTCCATCACACCCAGCCTGTGGGACACGCACGTGGCATGTTGCACACCCAGCAAGCCACCTGGCCACCCTGCTTTTGCACACCAGCAACGAGAACTACTTCAACTCCTAAGCCTTCAAACACACCAACCCCACCAACCGAGATGGGAGAAGGGACCCGTGGCCGGGTTGCCACGAGCCCTTTGACCTCCCGTCTGTCTGTACTCACAGCCCGTGCCTCACCATGGCTGGGTGGCGTCAAGCATCAGCCACCTCCACCCTTTCCAATGGGATGCAAAAGCTTAAAATACGTACCTAACCCCCCCCCGCCCCGCGCTGCACCGCCCACGCAGCGAGGCGTCTCGCAATCCTCCAGTCTAGGATGTGTCATTAACAGTGCTTCTAAGAGCTTTTTAATTAAGTGTGAGTGGGTTGGAAAGAATCTAGACTTTCTTTAATAAGAAGCTTTTTTTTCTTTTTAAAAAAAAAAAGTTACTTTTAATAAGAAGAGCGAGTATTTCTACAATCTCGTCTAGCCAGCGGCAGCGCGAGGTTCTGGGAAAATCCTGACGGGGCTTACGCTGCATTAAGGGATGAGTGTGGGTTGGTTTTTTATGAGGTGCAGCATCCCTGCGCTGCTGATGCAAAAAGGCGAACCTGGGGGTAGAGGTAAAGGTGTTCGGGAGAAGGGATGGCGGACGCAGGGGGTGCCCTCTCCTTATTGTTTTCTTGAGGCAAAAACTATGGAGTTTGGGAGCTCTGTGCTCCCTCCCTGCCGAAACACGGAACCCCAACCGCTCCTCGAAATCGTGCGCCCGCGGCAATGGCACCGTAACCCAGATTGCCGAGCGCTGCATATGGAGCGGGCTTTATCCCTCTCCGCTTTACTCCACCTCTTAGGAAATGTAATCAAGGGCTCCAGCGGAGTGGGAGAGGGTAATGGGATCGAGCCTTTCACTACTAGGTCACTGGCTGGGGGCCAGCGCGGCTCACGAATGACCCAGAGCCGAGGACGGCTGCTTCCGTGGGTGGGAAGCCTCCCCCTCCCCAGGCATCAGCCCCGGGACGGGTGAGAAGGTTTGCTCCGGAGGAAAGGGGTTTTCAGCACAAAAAGCCAACCACATCTCCATGTGCTGACACCTCGCGGGGCCGTCGGAACGTTTTTTCCTGCCATTAGAGCTATTTTTAACAGCTACCAGCCCTGAGCAGCGGTCCTGGATTAGCAGCAGGGCAGGTTTAACGGCCCGAGGCTGCGTGATTTCCCAAGAGCTGCCCAGTCGGGCACATCCAAGCCCCGAATCACGTCTCTGCCTGGGCATGGCACCACTCACACCATCCCCGTGCCCCTCCATCCATCCCCATAGGGAAACGATGGGACTCACCAGCCCAGCCCTTCCTGTAGCAGCTTCCCACTACCCAGTGCCGGGTCTCCAGGCAGCAGCTCTAAGGCCGCCTTCCAAACCCAAGTTGCGAGCCCGCGTTGCTCAAACCTGTCTTTTATTATAAAATAAAACCGCCGTGGTCTCTGACAGCGAGCGGCAGCAATTGAGGCCATTCATGCCGACAGCACACTACCCATTACCGCCCGGGGAGCCCGGGAGAACAAGCGTGGGAAGGAACGTTCCTGCTACAGCCCCTTCTCCTCCCCTTGTTTAGATCAGTTACCGCCTGAAAATTGCCCGTGCCCTACGAGCGCACGCGGGATGCTCTCAGCCTTTCGCTGAGGATGGCTGTGTGCTCATCCAAAGGCTGCTGTCACGTCAGCTCGAGCCTCCAAGTATCATAACTGGGACAACGGAGCCTCTGCAGCTTCCTCGGAGCCAGGAATCATCACGTCCAGCCCCCTCCCTCGGGATCGGGCCCCGCTGCCCACACTCACACTGCACCGTCAGGTAGGCAGAGGCCGATGGCGAGCGGCCCAGGCTGTTGCTGGGGATACAGGTGTATTTTCCAGCATCCTCTGGCTTGACACGGAAGATGATCAGCGTCCCATCGATCAGGATCCGCACCCTCAACTTCAGGTCGCTGTGAGAGAAGAGGGGAGGAGGATCGCGGGGAGACCTGGGGGCGATGGCCACCTGGTTGGTGGTCCCCATCACGATCTGGGAGGAGGAGGAAGATGTGCCACCCTGCCAGCTGCAAACTCACTTCTTGAAGTAGACGTTCTCCTCCTCCCAGTACCACAGGTAGGTGAGGTTCCCGGGGTACGCCTCGGCCTGGCAGGTAAAGAGCGCATCCTGGGAAATGTTGACCGTGATGTTCTCCGGAGGGGAAACGATGAAGGGAGGTCCTGGATGGGAGAGAGAAAACTGTCACCCCCACCAGGACAAGTGCCCCCAGAAAGGTTGCTCAGCTCCATCACAGCGCCAGGATCACGGGGCACAGGGGCTGACCTTGAGGAGCACGGTGGCCCTGCTATTCCCTAAACTCTAGAGCTTTGGGGAGGGGGCCCCCGTGGTTCTGCTTCTCCCAGGGCACACAAGCTCACATCTCCCCTCATCTCAAGCACGTTTCCAGCATCGCATCACCCGTAGGGAAAAACTCAAGGGGAAAATGGAAACTGCCGGGAGCCGGCAGCGAGCATCCACAGCTCAACAACGTGGTGAAAGCAGAGCAGAGGACACCTCACGCTTCTCTCTCCGCTGGTAGCTGTTGACCTAATTAAAAATTTCTTTAATAAAAAAGGGAGAGAGGAGCGGGAGGCCTGCCATGCATCATCACTATCCAACCAGGTGTTTGTGACAGCCTCAATCTTTCTCCCTTCTTCCCCCAAGAAAACCCAGTGGCCATAGTGCCCAGCTGCTCGCCGGCACGGCCACGGAGCTCCAGACATGGACCCTCCTCCTCCCAGCCCCCCAGGGAGGCAGAGGGGCTGAGGTGGAAGGTCTCACCTTGAACAAGCAGGCGCGTGGTGTGCACAGCCTCCCCTTGGATGCTGTACGCGCGGCAGGTGTAGGCACCCCTGTCCTCCCGGCTGATGGAGAGCACCGTCAGGCTCCCGTCGCTCACCTGGGGACGACAAGGGAAGACCCTGGAGCATCGGCAGGGAACGCCAGGGTTGGAGGAGATGCACCCAAACCCTGGCTCTGCACCCAAACCCTGGCTCTGCACCCTCCCTCCCCGCAGCAGAAAGCTGCAGGTGCTTTTAGGGCCGGATGAGAAATGGGTTTCCCCACTCCGCAAGACTTGGGATATTAATAAACCAACACACGTGTTTCTGCTCGACGCCAAGGGGAAGGGAAAAATAAATAAATAAAATAAATAAATAACCCTCGCAAGGCATTTATCTCCCGCAGAAGCGGTTGGCAGGCGGCAGACTCCGAACCACTCCTGCCGAGCGCCCCGGCACCATCAGCACTTCATGAGGAGCGGGATGCCTTGCCGGAGCATCCCCTGCTCCCAAGGGACCCACTCCACCCCCTGGACTGGGGTACAATGGGGAGATCCCGGCTCAGCCACCATCCTCCCCACAGGGTCACCTCGCAGCGGCAAGCGGAGCGGCTGAATTCCTCCCCGGGGATGCAGCAGAGGAAGGATGGGCAAGGGACTGGCACCCCCAGGATAGCAGCCCCCCTCCATGCACAGGGAGCCCTGCTCCCAGCCAGGCTTTCCCCCCCACCTCATTCTGCCTCATCCTTCTATTCCAATTAGTAACAAATGATTCCTAATTACTCTCATTAGTGCCTGCACTGATTCCAATGCCTGATTTACCAATTACAGCTCAGGGGGGAATCTCTGCCCTGGAGCCCCCGGGATGCAAAAAGGACCCTGGGAGGGAGGCAAAGCCTTCCCTGCCCAAAACCCCCCCAGCCTCAGCTGCTGCGCAGCAGAGATGGAGGGGGAGGAAACAGGCATCTCAGTATGGAGAAGTGCTGAGAAAGCACGCCCGACTCCAGGCACAGCCGAGCTGC